ATGTAGAATTTATTAATGCTCGAGTGACACCAACCATACTGATTGTTCAAATCTTCACCCACTTGGGTGAAGAGTTGCGAAGTCCTCGAACAACTTGTCGCGCTCCAAAACCGTTGCTTACAGCGTATTGGCACAGCTACGGAGGTCAGCAATTAAGTCCTTAATGAGACAGTACAAGTAAAAGATTCGCAATTTTGTCAAGTTTCAACTTGTTACTCCTTACTTCAGTCGTCAACTCTATACCGAGGTTTATAGAAAGTCGAACTTTTGAATTGTTGCTATTATAGTATTTATCTTAGCCTACTATCTTTTGCAACCATATAACCTTTTGTATACTTGAATGTAACTCTTTGCATGTGTAGACTTTTATGTAATCGTAGGCATACTGCAGCGCTTCATCTGACCAGCTCTTTGTCTGTGGTCCATGTATAAGCTTCCTTCAAAACAGAAAACCAGTTGCCATCAGTCAGCAGTTAGCTGTTGGCGGTTAGAGTACTCTAATCCTACCGTACTCAGTCCTCTCTCATCCTATTGGTCTACTTCCAGTTTATCACAGTAAACTTGTTTGATCTTACCGTGTCCATACCTACAGTTTCAGGTGAGTGTCAACTGCCATTATCTCAAGAGAGTTCAGTGTCAGTTCCAAACACTGTTTGCGCAAATAGTATGAAATTCACTTGATAAGTCACTAGGTTTCAGACAAGCTGTAATTGAGTGGCAAAAAGTAGACATCGAGAAGTGATGAAGAAAAGTGATCTGAAAACAATAGTTGAAAACTAGTTAATAGCAAATGCATGGGGAGTGGGATTAATGTTCACGTTTTCTAATGCCATTCTCATATACCCAGGCATTGCTCACATTTCTTCATTTGGCTGAAAGCCTTAGTTGTTTGTTAGTGACAAAGTTCTTCCATGCATCTCCAACTAAAATGCGGTCGTTTTCTATAAAGAAGCCTTTTATTACCATTGCCACTTTGGTTTTCTACGGTAGCTGAGGTGATTCATTATTTGCAATAGGACTGTCTTTATCATTACGTAGTATCACGCAATGGGCTAAGCACATCGAGTTCAAAGCGTACGGAGTGAGAGGATTAGCTCATTTGGACAATGAACCAATTTTCAGCAGCTTAAATCTCCACAATTCTGTATAAAGATTGATTTTCTGTCTTCTTAGAGCACTGCAAAAGCAAACAGAAAATCATGCTTGGCACTTAGACTAGTTGACCGGTCACAGTGAACTCAATAGTACTTATAAACAAAGCCTACATATTATAGACACTTTGTCGTCACAAAGAAATCAAACATCACTCAAAAAACTTATACAGAATCTTCTTAGTGAAACTCAATTTGTTGCTGTCACAACGCACTAAGATAGCTTTTTCAGAAAAAAAATATAATGCTAAAATCTATTTCCTTTTCAAGCTATCAAGTGATCACTAAAAGTCTGAGGAAAGAGGCCTTGTCCTCAAATGGCCGAAAAATAGGCTACGATACAGGAATAGTATTGACTACTGGAGGTTCTATGAAATAAAAACTTGCGTCAGCTAAAAAAGCATTTTCGAAATCGTGTCTCAGCAAGGACAATGGCGTTCTCAAAGGATTAGGAAGTTCGTCTGACCCGATTTTTTTGGTGTGCAAGTGTGTGACAGCGATAGCTCTGCGTCCATATCTTCACAGCATTCTTTCACTTTGTGACCAATGCCAATTACTTTGGCGCAAAGTAACGGCGGTGCCGGGCCGTGGCAGTTCAAACGATTATAACTAGGCTCAGACACATCTTCATCAATCAAATTACGAAATATTACATTTTCCACAATCTTCAACGAGAGATAAGCTTGGTTTTGTGGTTCAAAAAGTGGTTGGTTGGGATTCGCCGAGTTGTTGGAAGCCATCTTCTGCATTCACCAATAAAGTTTTTCTCTGCAAGGAGCTGTCGAGATACTTGAGACGCAGAAGTAGGAGAAAGCCAGGTTCAGCGAACGGTAGAGGATGAGGCAAAACTTCGTAGGCTTCGTTCAACTTTTGAAGTGTTCGTTGCGCCACGTGTGACCGTCGGCTGATCGTAACGAAGCCGACATTACTTTTGCACCAGACTTTATTTACCCCACCAAATTGCTTCAAATAACGGACGACAGTGGAACCGTCGAGTGTTACGTTTCCGTGCAGCCTTAAAAGGATCAGCTTCGCGTGTGCGTGTTCGATGACTGTTTTCAATTGGTCAATATCAACTTCTCATGGCCAACTACTACGTTCCTCACTTTCACAGCTCTCGTCTCTTGAAGAAACTTCCTGAACCGCAGCTAAAGCGCATTTTAGTCAGCAGTCTCTAAACTCAATGTGCTGTGAATGTTGTGAGTTGTATCAGCTGCATTACGACCTATTTCGAACTCAAGATCTGAAAACGCCAATACTTTTGCACATGCCATTATCCTTTTCATAGTTTAAAATAAATGCGAAATAAACAGAAGTACGCATTCAAGCAATGATCCCACTTATTATGATTTATTCCATTATAAAACGTCAAATTTCAACAATGCATAAAACGCCATTACTTTTGCACCATTCGATACATTCCCCTTAGAGAAGCGAACTTTATCGTTCAACGAACGCGTAAACCCCGCCAGAGAGATTCGTCAAAGCGATCGATATCAGCTTTTCGTGTGGCACCGCGATCGACGTGTGCCTCGCATCGTCCACAAGTTCAAATTTCGCGCGTTAACATGTTACTTCCGCGCCTTCTCGCTGTACTTGCGAAAATTATAAAAGCGTCGCTCGTGCGGCCGTCCATTTGCCGACTAAGCGACGCAGAGTGCGCGCGTCATCTGCGTCGCACCATGATCTTACTATCGTCGTACTGCAACAATTCAAAAGTTCGACTTTCTATAAACCTCGGCATAATCAATTGATATATGAAAATGGAGAAAACTTATCTTGATTAGCTGACGCGAGGTTGATAAAACAGTTGTAGAAATTCGGCTGACGTTTCGGCGACCCGCCTTCTTCAGAGCCTGGACGTATATAGTATTAGTCTCTGAAGAAGGCGGGTCGCCGAAACGTCAGCCGAATTTCTACAACTGTTTTATCAACCTCGCGTCAGCTAATCAAGATAAGTTTTCTCCATTTTCATATATCGTCATACTGTTTCCCTCTTTCAAATCTACTTAATTACGTAGACGGATCAGTGGTAGAATAACACTGTGAATATCTCAGGTACAAATATTTCTGAACTTTTTTTTTCAACGAGCAAATACGAAGCAGTTGTCCAGATTTATTTCAGAGCTTCAAAGGTCAATTGGGTGTATCCTCAGCTTCTCTAAGCTTCCTTATCCAAGCCGTGGTACATTTATGAACCACGTAAGTCGAACAACAAAGTTACAAACTTGATGTCATTCCATGAGTTCTCCTAATGATCACTTTTCCAGTGAAGTAGGTGATACTGCCGAAAGCGGTCGTGCAGGTACGTTCTTTGTGGCATTTGGCATCTTCTTCCCAACTATTCAGTGCGTTAGATATTACGTTTTTTAGTAAGAAAATGGTTAATCTTTCACGACTTTCCTTCAATCCTCCGTCCGGCAACGCTAATAGAAAAGGAATGGTTTTTTATTTAGTCATTATGTAATAGAATGTGTGCTTTTTTTCTGGGTAAAGGGACTGCACATTCATTTATTGTTGCATTTCAACATTACAGGACGAATGGGTGGGTCATGATTACTGGTCATACACCTAGTTTATCGAAAAATTGGCAATATTCAGAACAAACTGAGCTCGCTAATGGCATACTATGCTAATAAACAGCTCATTTTCAAACTATATGAGATGTCTAAGCTTTTCGGAACCACAGTAAAGCGTCGTGCGCAGTGCAAATCACAGCCTATGCACTGTTTTTGCTATTAACTTGGGGTATTTCTCTCCATTCTTGAAGTGATTGAAGGTTTTTTGTAACATTTCCATACTTCACGGTTTTTTCTACATGTCCGTCTATTTTTGGTGCAAATATATCTCTTAAGTGTGCTTGAAAAGCTTCCTCTTACTGCGCAATTAAACGCTTGTTGACACTGTGTCAATTGTAATACGTTGTGGAAAAAATTTAGTTCGTCGATATTCGGATTTTTCAAAAAGTTTCTTTTCTTTTCTCCATGAGCGGGGTGTGGCGCAGTGGCTAGAGGTGATTAGTCGATCTTCGAAAGCGTGAACGCATAGAGAAAATCTCATAGTATCTAAATGTTTACGAGTCAATGTCGGAAGCAATTAGGACGTTTTGTCCTCTTACATTCTATCGAAAAGATCGCCATGATGATTGATTTACGCGTATTCATGGCAAAAGAGAAGTATTTGAAGTCTTTTTGTAGCAGGTCGTGCATTTTATTTGGAGTTTTTCTTTCAAAGCAATGAAACAATTCCTAAAATAACAAAGTTGGTACCCTCATACAGCCGATCGAAAATCGATTGATAACTGCACAACCCCTCTGCCGTCTCACTCAGCTGCCCGTGAATTGGCCGAAGACCACCTTGCTCGCACACGTGAATCAATATTATTTTGACTAATGCGTTGCAGAGAAACTGTTTTTTCAAGATATAAACCCAACGTTGGAATCAGCAAACATTGCGCTATCGAATAGTTGCCAGTAAGTCAAAGAAGGAGCTCTGTCCGACGGGAAATTAGCTCCTGTGAAACATAATTTTATTTTAGGTCTCATAGCGTTATAAAAAGTTCTTTTGGAAAACCGTTTACACATGGGTCTATCCAGAGATCAGAAATCATCCTATTTGACTGCGTATCGCGGTGTTATGATGTAACAATAAGCCCAGTAATGTGGAGTGGTGTGCATGAACATTTGCGTCAGCTGAGGGTTCGAATCCAGATCTCACTTTCCAGGAGCGTGTGCTGAACCGTTGCACCACGTGGGTTCAATGTTGATAGTGACTGCTCCGCCAGACCGTAGACGGTTGGCTGTTGACAGGTAACGCGCTGTAGCGTAGAAAGAGTGCTGTGCAAAACGAGCGTAGGTGGTGCAACGGTTAGCACACGCTCCTGCAAAGACTGGGATCTGGGTTTGAATCTCGGCTGAGGCGAATGTTTCTGCACACCACTCTATCCAGAGGTTCAAGATTTCGAACAATCACTAACACTCCTATGAAAAGTCCCTGTTCATTGAATGAGGTTGAATATTCATTTGTCCCCTTATAACCAAAAGGAACCGCAAGTATTTGAGGTTCGTGCCACACCCCTTGATTATCTGAGTAGATCTGAAAAGCAACGAAGATACACGGCGAATTTGAATAAAGAAAAAAAGGAACTACAGAACAAAATGAGAATTAATCCGCCACAATTTGGTACAGGTCAAAACCTTTTATGCTAAAAATGGTGTTGAGTACGAGGTAAGTTTTCAAAAATCATATATACGTACAGCCTATACATCAGTTATCAAAGATACCCCGCAATGCACACTTATTCGTTGGTTCGAACATGCGATCCCCCTTCACAAAATCTTCCATCTCTCCAGGGTTCGGAAAATAGGCGCCAGTCGTTTTTGAGAAAAGAGCAATACTGGCCTGACACAGTTATAGACTACTAAAAGTCCTCTGCAGAGTAATATAAATTTTCACCGCCATTACAGTTCTTGATGAAGTCGATTACATGGCGTATCTTCCAAGGACTGACCAACGGATTGCGCCTTATCTTCATCCTTTCTATCTCTCCAAATATATATATATATATATATATATATACATATACAGGTGATATATGTTCAGCACCGTAGCAGCGGAAATGAAATTGAGTTTTACTGTCGACGTGCATTGTCGCCTATTTTCGATAATTACTAAAAGCATTTCTCTTCGTTTCTCATAAATCCAGAGGTACATCGTAATAGAGTCGTAAAAGAAACTTGGTTTATTGTTCTATGAGCCTTGCTTTTAATTTCATTCTATATCGTCAAGTATGTCGTTAGTGAGCCTGAGCTTGCAATTCACTTGGAACTCTGTGTTTTTGAAAAATCCTTATTTCTGGTGGTCTCACAAATTTGCGCGACTTCGGGAATATCTTTGAGATACCTCCGGCGATATATTGGATTTACTAGCAAAACTCTCGGGGCTAATCCTGAAAAGATCACACCTGCTGACTTTATATCGCGCTTCTGTGAGAATCTTTTTTTGCCAAACTCTGTGCCGGTGCCTTCAAACTTTGTCTCTTTTAATTTCTATTTTTGACCACTACACGGTTCAGGACGCTGCAAATTTCATCGCGAAGCAAGCGGAGGGACATTGTCCCCGTGTATGATGTGCTCAAATGGACCAATAGTAAAAATTTGCTCATTTCTAAAGAGTCTTCATTTTAGTTGCACAACAGTTTCGATTACTGCTGGAGCAGCACTTATGGAATCACAGGCTTCACGTGAAAAGCGATCAGTTAGAGGTATGTCACTTCCTAAATCCCTCTACTAAACGCCCATTAAGATTCCGAATAAATTTTATTTTATGAACACTTACAGAGATTGGAAGGACTGCTGGCTTTACAGAATCCACAGTCAAGTGTCTATATACATAGAGAGAGAGAGAGCAAAAACGTCGCATGAAATACTACTCTTAGCACTATAAGCTGTGGTCGAAGCAACCACATTATATTCTCAGAACACACTACTTGAAATAGTTGGAAGCTAGAGAGACTGAGTACATCCATTCCACTTTTCAAGCCCTGAAAGAAATAAATCTAGATACTGTTATTTTCTTCGTATTTGCTGGATAAAAAAATAGTTTATATACAAACATGGAGGATGCAGCAAACTTTCGTAGCCTTCGTTGAATTTTGAAGCGTTCATTCTGGCGCATGTGGCCGTCGGTTAGCCTGTAACGCGACAGTCTTTAATCTTGCATCAAATTTTTTCACGCTATCAACTTGTTTGAAATAACAAACGACTTTGCAATTTCCGATAGTTAAGTTTTTCTACACGTGTAGTCTCAAGATGATCAGCTTCGATGATTGCCCTGGATTGGTCGTTGGCAAATACCCATGGCCGGCCACTACGTGTTCCACTTTCAAAGCTGTTGTCGTCCTTGTGAGACTACTTGAGCTGCAGTTACTTTACATTTTGTCAGCACTTTCTGGACTTAATGTGTTTCTGATAATGCGATTTACCCTGCTGTCTTACGACCTGTTTTAAACTCAATGTCTAAAGCCGCAATTACTTTTGCACCGACAACATCCTTGCCATACCCCAAATTTCTAGTGTTTTTACTGCCTCTTTCGCAGTGTTACGATGTTTCATATATATCTAAGAGAACTGAGTGTTGAGCAAAAATACGACCCCAGACTTGAGTCGAACGCGTCTTTCATCCATACCGGGGAAGAGTGCTACCACTACACCACCGACGTACATTCGCACCACCACTCATTCTCTTACCAGACCAAACCTGCTAAAGGTAGGTGGAAGAATGAGTGGTGGTGCGAATGTACCTCGAAGGTGTAGTGGTAGCACGCATCCCCGGTATGGATAAAATGCAGGTTCGACTTCCGTCTGAGATCGTATTTTTGCTCACCACTCAGTTCTTTCAGGTATTCTTTCCATAGTCTATGATAAATATAAAATAAACAGCAGGGTAACGTCATTTGCAGCAAAGCATAGAGCATTGCATTAATGTGCATTGAAGTCATGTACAACATGACCGTTTTTATTTAAGAATTTATTCCAGTTCAAACGGCAAATTTCAGCAATACATAAACTGCCATTACTTTAGCACCAACCTGATCCATTGCCCCTCGTTGAACGGAACTTTTCGTTTAAACGACGCGTGAACATCGCCAGCGACGTCCATCAAAACGATCGAAATCCGCTATTCGTGTGACACTGCAATCATCATGTGTCTTGCATCGTCCACATGTTCGAAGTTCGCGCGTTAATGCGTTACTTTGGCGTCTACTCGTTGTACCTTTGAAATCCTACAAGCGTCCCTTGGGCGGTCGCCCACTTTTCGACTAAGTGACGCCGAGTGCGCGCGTCATTTACGTCGGTCCATGATCTTCCTGTCGTCCGCCTATTTCCTTCTTTCAAATTTATTGATTACTTGGATGCATCAGTGGAAGAATAACCCTGTGAATATCTCATGTACAAATGTTTCTGAACTATTTTTCTAACGAGCAGATACGAGGAAGATGATAGTATCTACATATATTTATTCGGAGCTTGAAAGGGTGGAATGAGCGTACTCAGTCTCTCCGAGCTTCCAACTGTTCCATGTAGTGGGTTCTAAGAATATAATGTGGTTGCTTCGACCCCAGCTTATAGTGCTAAGAGTAGTATCTCATGCGATTTTGCTCTGTTTATCCCCAGCCATAAATAATATGAGATTTCCCTTTTTTCACGTCCCGTTGTTATAAGCCTCTCCGATTTTGCCTCTACTAGTGATCATGCGTGATTGATGTAATGATTTTCAGAGCATCTATTCATTAAGAACTATTCAAATGAAGCGAAAGCGACCTCCTCTCGGCATTCAGCATGCCGAGGTGAGTGATAGTGAATCTATAGCTGTGAATAACTCTGTGTAATTATGATGTAAACCCGAGTCTGAATTCGAAAACTTCGATATTTCATTGTGTGGTTTCGCTCGTAGTTGGGTATAACATTGAAATTTTGTACAGTTTTTACTTTTTGGTAAGATGGGAGGAGGTAGAAAATACGCAACTCCACTCAAGATATTATTGGGGTTGGTCGATCTGAGCACCTTAGTGAACTACGTCTCTACCATAGCTTTCAGTGCCGTAATATTCTTATTTGAAAGCGAATTTTGAAAAAATTTTTGTTAGCCCTCTGAGAATCGATGAAAGTGCATGAATCTTATAATGAGACGTAATGGGGTAGTATTGCAAATCCCAGCACTTCTTGCCTTTTATTCGTTTCTTCGCAGTTACCATCTAGGAAAATATTCCTCGTATGTGGCTTTGGATGATGGCCGAAATTCATCCAAATCCAAGCCGTACACGAGGGTGTGCCACATAAGTCATTAAAACAAAGCTGCAAACTCACAGCCATTCTATGAGTTCTGTTAATGATTTTTTATTTTACCTCTGATGTTGCCATTACTTGTGACCATACGTGATTGATGTAATGATTTTCAGATCTTGTCTTCATTAACAGCTATCAAAATGAAGCGAAAGCGACCGTTCGACATTCAGCATGTTGAGGTAAGTGATAGTGAATCTATAGCTGTGAATAATTCTGCATAATTATGATGTAAACCACAGTCTGAATTCCAAAACTTCAATATTTTATTGTGTGGTATCGCTCGTAGTCGGGTATAATATTGAAATTTTGTACAGTTTTAACTTATTTGTGAAACGGGAAGAGATAGGAAACACACGACTTTTCACAAGATATCATCAGTGTTGATAGATGTTAAGAGTTTCCTATGTAGATCAATGGCAGTGCTCTTTTTCTGATTCCAGTGAGGATCCTAATGAACTACTTCTTGCCTACCATAGCTATCAGTGTCCGAATATTTGCATTTGAAAGCAAAATTTTGAAAAAAAAAGCCTTTGTTAGCCCTCTGAGAATCGATGAAAGTGCACAAATCTTATAATGAGACGTAATGAGACAGTACTGCAAAACCCAGTTCTTCTTGCCTTTTATTGGTTTCCCCGCACTCACCACCCTACAAACTGATTTTCTGAAAGGCAAACTTTGCTAATAAACAACTTATTTTTAAACTATATGGCATGTTTAATCCTTCCTGGGCCACTGTGAGAGCGCGGTGCAAATCGCAGCCGATACACTTTTGTTATTGACTCAAGATTTTTTTCTTATTCTAGAAATAGTTCTAGTGTTTTCGATAACATTTCGTTACTTGCCAAATTTTTCTTACACGTTTGTATACTTTTTGTGCGAATATAACTCTAACGTATTGCTAAGAAACTCCCTCTCACTACGCAGTCATACGTTTGATGGCGCTGTGTCAATTGTATGTTATAGAAAGAATTTTCGTTCGTCAATATTGGAATTTTTCACAAATATTCTTTTCTCTTCTCTATGACGGGTGTGGAGCAGTGCTTAGAAGTGCTCTGCGTCGCAGATAATTGATCA